CTGGACAGAGAGCTGGCTGGGATATGAATTGGCAGAGGTGGACCAATCGCTTGGCCTCCTAGGTCGCCATATTTAACCCCATTGATTTTATCTTGCGGGGTTATGTGAAGAATATTGTCTACCAGGTTATGATGAACGGCCTTCAACACCTGAAGGCAGGCATAAGGGACGCTGTGGCTACGGTAACACCAACGCCAAGGGAGCCCACATTTAAATTTACTGAGAAAGTTATATGTGCAGAAAGAAACTTTGATAGTTTCCTTTTGTAATGGTGTAACCCATTAATGTGTATAATAAAATCTTTCTGAGATAAAATGATTTTATTTTGGATAGGTATTTTGAGCTATAGGAAGCGCTCCTCATTTCGGTTACTCTTGTCACAAACAGAACACTTCGTATCTAAGCCTAATCAGAATATCATCCAGCCATGATTGTAAATAAAATCAACTGTAGACTCATCTCTTTAGTGCGCAGACGCTTCATCACAGGAGGGTNGTATAAGAAAGGTACAGATGAAAACAAGTCTAACATCGTGACCTGCTGGTATTCTTAAGTTTCCTGACAATCCGTCAATTGACTGAAAAGTGTGGGGAGAATAGACCCACAGACATCCTGATATCATAACCACATCTTCATCAGAAAAGAAAGAACGCTAAATCCCAACCCACTGTTGAAAGGAAGACAGTTCCTGTCCCTGTTCATAATTACCAAATATCGTTTGAGGTTAATTGTACTGTCTTTTCCATATGACTACAGATACCGCACTGCTGTTCAGTTTTCCTTTTCGCCTTTGCCTTGTTTCACCCTTCAAATGCAACACAGGTGATCGAACAAAGCCACGCACTGATCCATAGACAAACAGCGCTTCATCCTCATTCGCGACATAATCGGTATTCGGGGCAGCCTTTAACGACAAAACATACGGATTACATACACCAACTACAAGCCAGGTTGATTAACCTTGCTTCACTTTTCAGATTACGGTCCTCTGGGATGTGACGCCATGGCAGATAATTATCAGCGCCGCTAC